CTTAAATAGTTTTTACTATTCAATCAAAATTTTTCTTTTTTATATAATTATTGTTTGTTAAAATAAAATGTATTCACTTTCAATATGCAGTGACTTCAACTAATCATAAGAGAACAGGTAACAAAGACGTTACTCACTTTTTGTTATTTATTGGAAGGCCATGGACGTAAGTTTTCAAGAGCGGCAACAGTGGTCCGCCGTCTTTGCTTATGTAGCGCATATCTGTCATTAAGTAGTACTGCACGTACAGTAAATGGCCAGCTGAGAATCTTCTATAGCCACAAGGTCCTCAATAATAAACAAATACAAAGTGCTGAGATCGCTTCTTGGCTCTTTCTTCCAAACGTACTTGAGCGTCGGCTACGGCCTTGTCTGGATCGACAAAGTTATCGGTTCGCGGTGCATTTCCCAAAAATTGCCGAGTAGCTAATAATCTTGGATTTGTGGCATGATTCAACACTTTAGGTGCCTGACCCGTTATTGAATGAATTGTAGAATTTATTTATTTTCTTTTATCGTAACAAAGCCTTTATTGGTGCAGCTAATTTTAAATTCATTTAATGAACCGTCGAAAATAGCTAGCAAGTCCATAAACTGTCTTACATTTCTAACTTCTGTCGGAATAGGCGCTTTAGTCAAGGCGTTTATTTTACGCTGACTGGGTCGCTCTGATACTGCAATTAAAACAACACCAAGATATTTAGTCTGTAGTAAAGTATTTTCCATGTCAGAGAGAATTGATCTGATCTTGATTATGAGGCAATGGGTATCTTCCTTTAACTATCTTCTTGTTGACATCACGGAGATTAACACACATTCGAAACTCACCATTTTTTTTTTTTTTATACAAACGCTATGGGTAGAGCTTGCATATTCCGATCGACTTTCACGAATTATGCTCGCGATTTAAAGTTCATTAATTATTTTTTTACTTGCAATCTTTCTTGGTATGCCAACCTACGAGCACGATATACTACTGGAGTAGTGTCTTTTAGCTTTATTGTCATTTCACCGGTGGTAATATGATCAGGAGTTTTATTTTTATAAAACAGTAGGAGATTTTCTAGCCGTATTTTCAAGTTATCTTTTAAATCAAGTTGATTTATCACAATAGTATTATTATTTACACTTTTTAAAGTCAATACGTTAGAAATGTTGAGTAGGTTATGGTGTAACTCGAGTCTGTAATAGTTTTTTAATATTTCGTAAACAAAGTTTACTAATAACATCTCATCCAATAATAAGATCAATGTTGCCTGGAATAACATTATCTGGTACGACTGCATAACAAATGTCTAAAGTCAACATCAGCTTAGCAGTTATTAAGATCACAAACACCGACAGCGTAAACAATTTGGAATCCGGAGTAAGTACGGACCTTATCGTCTGTTTTGATAGTCGCGTTTTATGTTTTTGTTACAGAATGTTTTATAACTTATTCGTCAGCGCCGCTATTAACGGTAAGAAAAAGAAGAAACACTGTTTTTTCACAATAATGTCGTCATTGGTGTTGTACTTAAATGACGTAATTTTTTAGTAATAATGTTTTCTTGGGTTTACCGTTTTCATACCATGAAACAGTAACTTTTGTTGTGGCCAATTTTCTTGCAGTAGTTACAAGGTGGAATTTTTAAGGAACCTGGAATAATTTCTTGAATATCTTTCGGGTTTTCTTGTTTATTACGGCACGTATCATGTCGGTGTCCTTGACGACTACAACTGAAACGTGATTTCTTAAATTTCTTTTTGGGTCCTTTATGTCTTGCTCCCAATTGGTATTTCCTTGTTGACGGTCCTTCAACTTCTAAGGGCCGTTTTGCAATCCTTCTTCCATCAAATTAGCTTAGTATGATCATAACCTCATGGAAATTTTTCATGGAATCTGTGTACACCACAACATTTCTGATTCCCATAATCACATAAAGAATCACAAATTTTCTTAATTTTGGCGGTTTGGCCGCCACTCACAACAGTATCGGTTACCTCTCTTTTTCAAGGCCTCGGCTGCCTTTGCGATCATTAGATTATCGCTGATGGTTAATTCATCTTTTAATTTCGTAGCATCTTCTAAACATTCATGAATGGCGTATGCGCTGTTATCCGGATCGTAGCTGCTTAATTTAAATGTGTAGTTTGATGTCGACGCTTGCGTATTTGATCCATCTGCTACGAGAAGCTTGGGCGTTGCCTGTGAAGATGACGATGACATCATCGCAATATCGTACTCTTTGTCTATTTTGCTAATTCAGCGATTTGTTGTTGCTGGGCAACGATTAAATTAATTAAGGTTTCTTGCCACTGTACTGTACCTTTTAAAAGTTCAGGATAAGGATCGACACTTGGTGATGCAACACCTCCGTCCGAATCTGGTACAGCGTTGGCGAGACACTATTTGCACAATTTTCGACCTCCATTTTCAGAGATTACTGTTTGACACGGTCTTTTTTATTAGTTCGTATTGTCTGTTCGGCACTGGACACGGTACTATCTCACTTCTGATGTTAAGGTAAGGGATAATTAACCCCAATAAAAGTCATTAAACTACCAAAACTGTTTATTTATTAGTATTACACTAATCTATATTTAATTGCGTGGCTACGCGGTCGAGCTAAGACTCCGACTGCCGCTCCCCTCCGCTGCTCTCCGTTCGTCCGTCCTGACTTGCCAGGAGTATTGACAATTGACAGTGACACGTGGTCAATAATGTTGAGGTATAAGGGAAGTATCACTAACATACATACCAAAATTACTACGAACACTTTAAACAACCCAAAAAATTATCAGTCTGGACCTACTTGTTACCATCCTAATGTCAGTCTAGTAGTACCCCACATACTTTGATTTTCTTTTACTATACGGAGAATGGTCGCACTGCGCAGCTTTCTGAGTGCCTTTTAAAAGGAGATAGACTCCGCCATTTTGAACCCTTATTACGTGTTGCCTACATCTTGGCGCAATATTTTTAATAGGTGCGTTTTAATCATCCGCTTCTGCTTCGGAATTGTCGGTTTTCTTGTTTTAATCTGACAGGTTAAAACGACTAAACCGACAATTCCGGAAGCAGAAGCGGATGATTAAAACGCACCTGATATTTTGCTTGCTGCTGTCAGTGTCAGTGAATATTATTTTTGAAGTCACAGTTTATTGCTAAAGAATCAGTTAGCTCACTCGGACCAGTTGAAAGTTCCAAAATAACATACGCAGAAGACTGCTGTTTTATTATAGGCGGTTGTCATATATTGTATTATCCGAGTTGCACAGTGTATAAACTGAAACATTGAGATCAAAAGTGCCGACGCAGAGTGAGCGATCTGATTCTTTAGCTGTAAACTGTGTCACAGGGTTCAAAATGGCCGCGCCCTATGTTGGGCGTGTCGGACCTCTCTCTTGCCTCGTATAGTAATCAAAGTATGTGTTCTAACCTGTCAGATTAAAACAAGAAAACCGACAATTCCGAAGCAGAAGCGGATGATTAAAATGCACCTATTAAAAATATTGCGCCAAGATGTAGGCAACACGTAATAAGGGTTCAAAATGGCGGAGTTTTCTATCTCCTTTTAAAAGGCACTCAGAAAGCTGCGCAGTGCGACCATTCTCCGTATAGTAAAAGAAAATCAAAGTATGTGAGTAGTACCACATTATTTTGAATATATAGCATGTTATCTCCTCTCCATACTAACTCGATGCTTACAGTTAATAAAATTCGTTAAAAAACATACTAGAAGCGCTAAAAACTTTTAAAATATATTCTGGGAACATAAAATCACACAAAATGTACAAACCAAACTGACAATTCCCAATTGTTTGTTGACTAATGGGTCGATTCTGAGACAATCTATAAGATCTGTAAGCCCAAATTTGTAAAAAATTGCATTATATTACTATATCTTACAGATTCTGTAGCTTATAGGATATTTCCCAGAATTTTACCATAAATTTAAAACTAAATTTTGACGCGGCTATTTAAAATAGACAAATCACATCAAAGACACAGGAGAAAGAGAAAATAATAGAAAAAATGGTAGATACTGGCTTCAAACAAATCCAGACCGTTACTTATCTATATTTTATTTGTTTATCTGGATACCTATTCTCTAACTCATGGGAACACTCCCATACTCCCATGCCAACGTTGCCAAGTCGACAGAATAACTTTGATCTACTATTTAAGGACCGATCCACCGTTGTGTTAAACGAAGTTTAAAATGACATTTTTACATTAACAATGTCATTTTAATCTCCGTTTAACTCAACGGTGGAATCAGCCCTCAGTAATTCAAATTTGCTTTGTGATAAATACGGACCTAATCTGGCAAGCCCGCAATTCTCCCTCCCATAGTATAAAATCTGACCTTACTACGCATGTACCTGGGCTAAAAGTGAGTAAGCACGATATACCCACCTAAGAGTAAGAGAGCAAAATATATGGGAGCGCTCCCATGACTTAGTGAATAGCTATCCTGAGCATATTTGCAATTGCAATATTTACCCACCACTGAAAAAACCTCTTGTCCCGTAACCTTCAAAAATGTCTTCAAACTTTGGCGCAATGACATATGAAACCATTTTTCACAAATTAAATTACTGTCTATTATTTCGGTATCAATTATAATAGTACACCTACGCATTTAAGCTTTCAGAAAAGTTTTCTCTGATAACTTTGATATTCTTATCAATAACATGGAGTCGAGATGAAAGATCTGACTCACTGCATTGCATTGTTATTCTCAATTGCACCATCTGTTTTTATTAAAACTATTGCAAATACTAAAGGTAGAGATATCCGAAAAACACTGATAAAAGAAAACGCCTCGCGATAAAATTATATTGAAGTTGTTTTATTTGATAACTAATCATATAATTTGTTTTTTTACCTTTTATTTTTATTTAAAAAAATATATATTCGATTATCAATATCGAAAATGATTTTGTATCTTCTCAAAATTTGGTTTATTAATTTTATTTTTCCCTTCATTTTAGTCATTTTTTGTTCGTTTCAGATTTGGAAATGGATTAAGAATTTGTTTACAAAAATGGATAAAGAAAGTACGATTAAATGGGTGAGAGGGCTATTGGTGTCCTCAAAATACCCCATGTCGTTAAGACAACTGGACAGTAAGTAAAAAATTAAATAAAAAAATTTAAATTAACTCCTGATTTTATAAGGGATTGAACTATAGGATTGAACGTTTTCAAAATCGTACAAATATTTTAAAAAATATATCGATTTTTTAAAGTTTTGTTTTATATTTTAGATGATTACAGAACTATAATAGGAGAAAAAATTCCATATTCAAAGTTTGGCTTTAAAAAATTGGAAGATTTTTTGAACTCTGATCCAACTTTAAATGTTTACAGTCAAAATGGCGAGACTTTTGCCAAAGCCGCTATCAAGGCAGAGTCCGCGCATATCGTCGAAATGAAGATGAAAGAAAAAGCGTAAGTACCTATTATATTTCCTTTTGATGATGCTAATAATAATATTACACACCAAAAATATTATAGCCTACTTCGAACAGCATATATATTTAAATTTGCCCACATGTAAATCCTGTGTGCTATTTCACGTTGTCATTTAATTCTTTTGAGGGAGCGTTCAAAGCTGGCCCCCGAAATTATAAAATTTTAGATTTAAAAGCGACATGCGTTTTACCACCTATTAACCATTTTTGATCAGATTATTTTGTTTTGACCACCTTCAGAAACAAATATTTAAAAAAAATAAGTGCCTGCTGGAATTCGAAAAAAAAAGGCCAATCGACAGAGGGGCACACTAAAGATTTATAATGATTTAGAATTAATTTTCGAAGTTTGTCCACCCCTAAAATAATAATAATTAGCCCAAACGGTATGAATATAAAAAAGAAAATTCCAAATCGAATTTCGACTTGGCAAAAAATGGTCAATTGACAGAAAGGCAGAATAAAGATTTAACGATATTTGGCAACTTTATAATTATTTTAGGGGGTGGCCATATTTATATTTTCAAGGGTGGTCAAAAAAAGTTACTGGATGGTCAAAGGTGGTCAAACGCATGCCGCTTTTAAAATAAAAATTTTGGGGAGCAGGGGTAGTATTCTCGAATCACGAATACCGACATTCGCATACGTGTTTTACAATGTGTCTCACTTTGTTGAACGAAAACCAAGTGAGACAAATCATAAATCTCGCATGCGAATCTATATTCGTGACTCGAGAATACTACCCCAGGCTTCACACGTTCAAGTATTACGTAAGCAAACTTTCACTAATTTTAGACCATCCCCTAATGATTAGACGTAAGAATTTTTTCGAAACTTTTATTAAGAATCAAAATTGAAATGTAGTTGTTTAAATCCTATTAATGCCGTAGTACGTGTGGGGTTCCCCGAATTGATGATCGGTACATTTATACTTAGTAGCGCAGCGTTACGTCAATTCTTGGAACACTCATTTATCTGATAAGAAATATGAAAATAATTTCAGTATAATCAAAGTAAAAATAGTATTTAAAATAAAAATATTTTGAAAATATTTTCATTATATTGTATAATTTGTAAGGTTTATAATATCCCCCTAAGCCTGCTTACGTAATGTTTGAACGCCCCCTAATCTTGGTAATAAACTTTGTTTACATGTTTTTCTATTATATTCACCCGACTGCGAAAAGTGGCAAGTCGTGTTTTTTGCTTTCTATTTATAGTTGAGTGTAGGAGAGAGGGGGTGAACAACATGTACTATGTCCTGGTAGTGGGAGCGGTCATGTAAGCTGTGACATTCAATGCAAACTTACTTATCTATGAATTTTTCGATTCTTGCTGGCGGTCAAGGCTACAATTTTTTTATTATCAACTCTTCCGCCAACACAAAAAATAGTTAGGTTCAGAAAACCCACGTTTAAGCTAAATTTCGAATTTCGTTGTAATACGTAAATATCCGGTCACGTGGCCGAAAGTCCTCGGAAGACATGGTGACGTTTTGTCCCCACCGTTTTACCCCTGTCATTTTGTCGCCACCGTTTTACCCCTGCCATTTTGTCCCGTCCTTCCACCCTGGCCATTTCCTCAGTGCCGATTAGCCCCCGACCGTTCTGCCCCTATAAATGATATTATAAATATTCAAGTATGCCTAGATAGTAAAAGTAATCCTAATAAATCTAATTTTTTACTAGAAAATAAGGACTTTCCTGAAAATGCACCGCCAACCGCTGATTATTTTGAAGAGTCTGTTGCATACTAATCTGTTAATGACTGAACTTTTTAAGTCGCACAGGCTAGGTATATTAGTTAAAAAAAATTAATTTTTCTCATTTTAAACATAATTTTTTTGCGAAGCAAACGCGATGGCTCTGGACCGCAAAGGTTAGGTAAATTAGTTAGTTTTTTACTTATTAGGCATGGACAACATTTGGAATTTTAATAAAAATTCTTATTTTAAAGTAATTTGCTTCATTTTTATTTACTAAAATTATTGGAAGTAAACAAATCGGGGCTAAATAGTAGGGGAGCGAAACGTCCAAGCTTGAAACGGCGGGCACAAAAGAATTTAATAAGTCACATGACCGCTTCCACTACCGGTACATAGTAAATGTTGTTCATCCAACTACAAATAACAAGCAGAAAACATAAGGGAAAAACAAATTGGTCCATTTCTTTATTCCACCACAGTAGGTACGTTTATTTTCAAAAATAGACACAAAATTCATTCAAAGTTTTTTGTTTTGTATCAAGGCCACCATCAAATTCTTTTTTTTAATATGGACCAGTGTTATTCTGACAGATTATTTTAAAACATGTTTAATGTTAAATACAATGATTGTGATTAATAGAATAAAGTAGCAACTGATTTCGGCCAACTGTTTTATGCAGGGTGCATCAACTATGCGTGGATGAACAATAGCTACTTCCTATTTGAGATAAGAAAAAATGTCTCTAATTAAAGTTGTAGAGAGCAATGAAAGCTAAATACCAATATTCAGAGTGTTCGAAATAGTGCCAGTGTAATTTAAACGGATTTGCATAACAGCAAAAGAAGTTTTTAGAAATAGTATCACTGGAAGGAACATGCTCGTCTATACAGATCATGTATTTACTCAGGGTTAGTACTAGAATGTCACAAAGCTTTGGCCGAAGTATCCATCAACGATGTGGTCACCCTAAGATGGATCAAAGGTCACGCCATATCGAAAGGTAACCGTCTTGCTGATTCACTAGCCAAGAAAGCAGCCAACCAAATACTTTTTGGACCTGGCCCTTCTATTGGCCTGACAAAATACGTAGTGACAGACCTAATTAAAGAACATTCCCTTGTGAAATTCAAGGAAAGATGTGATGAAACAAGAAAATGCAGAGTTGCCAGGGAGCTCTTAAGTTATCCTGACAACACTGCAGCAAACAAATACTTGACTATTACTAGACAGAATCTGCGCCTAGTCACAGGCATACTGACTGGTCATTGCCAAGTACGGAAGCATCTCCATATCATGGGGCTGTCAGAATCCACACTCTGTAGAGAGTGCGAACAAGAAGATGAAACCATCGAGCATATCCTTTACGATTGCTCGACGCTCTCATTTATTAGAAGATTTGTGTTCGGCGAGTATCGGCTAACACTGGCCGATATAAGAGAAGCACCTCTTTGCGACGTTGTGAACTACATTAAATCTGTAGGATGGCTCACGAGCTAGGAGGTGCCTATCATCTTAGGAGGATGCACAATGGGCTTAATGAGGCCTAAGTGCCGTGGGGGTAACCCACCCTCCACACGTTACAGATACAGAGATGCATCGACTTGCATCTTGTAATGACTTGGAGAAAAGAAGGCTTTATGAAGAACGATATCCAAATCGAAGAATTCCTGATAGGAAAACCGTTGAAAGAGAGAATCGTCATTTGAGAGAGACAGGTAAAAAAATACGGCGTTTTATTTGTTTCTTGCTCTTACCGGATAATAGACATTGAATGTAAAGCGCCGGAAATAATTTTAGGAAAGTTTGGCAAAGCCAGTCACAATATTGTGGAATTCAAATGAATTGTGCTGAGAAAATTGGCTCCCATAATTTGCATTTGTGGATAGAGAAAAAAACCGGATGCTTTTATTGTAGCACATCATCGATCAGCATCAATTTGAACCTGTCAACGTGTGAGCCGGAGTCATCGGGCAACATTTAATTGGGCCATTTGTATTGCCCAGAAGGTTAACTGGAAACCTTTATTTGGAATTTCTTCAAAACTATTTTCAAGAACTTTTAGAAGATTTTACTTTGGCAATACGACGTGATATGTGGTTCATGCATGATGAGGCCTCTTCACATTTTAGAGGAGTAGTTCAAAGAATACTTAAATAGGTACTTCAAAAATCACCTGACCTAAATCTCTTAGATTGTATGGGAATATTTAAAAAGTTTACAATAAGGAATATAAATTATTCAATAAAAACCGTCAAAAACCATAGCAAAAAAAAAGATTTTTATATCGGTGGCACCCAATGCAAAAAAAATCCATTTTAAACAAAAACAAGTCATTTTATCGATATTAATCAGGAGTATCTTTTTTTAGTTCAAGGTTTAAGCTGCCCAAAAATATTATTGTTGTGTCTTTATCTTACATTGTGTTAAAAATATTGTGCATTATTGTGTTAAAGCTAGTCCGTCCCTGGCAAACTAAATAAGCATTTTCATATGTTCTATATGAATCTGGGAGATAGCCCACATATTCTGGGACACCCACAATGTATACAGATTGCACTTGAACAAAATTTGTAAATGTAACTTCATTTTAATCACACTGTTCGTTAGCCTTCCAAGTTTGCAATTTAAACAATTTTTAAATCATTGCAAACCTACCTTAATTATGATAATTTTATTTAAGCCTTGCATCATTATCTATTCTTACGAAAATTGTTTATGGGTAGTACCTGAAACAAAGTACCATTTAAAAATGTGTTTTATTTTCCAAAACAATTATTATTTTTTTAACAGGCCTAAAAAGAGACCCATTAAGCATGTAAAATTTTACTCTGGACCCGTAGTACATTCAAATTGGAGACCCAATTACTCAGCTTACTCTGCAAGACCAAAAAGGTATGCTACGTCTTCTCGTCCAGCAGCGGTGGCTCATAATCAGTTTGTGGACTATAGAAAACCTGTCGTAGCTTCGAAAATAGTTATTCCAGAAAACTCCACCTATAATAAAAATGTACCACCTAGGTTGCAGAAACAACATTCGGTTGGGAGTAGGCTGCAAATGGAAAAACAGGTAACGTACCAGGCAGTTTATTTTCAAATAGGCTATGATGTTCAAAATACAGGGTTGGACAAAATTGGCGGAACACCCGATGTGTAGCTCAATTATGGATTTTATTAAAAATTAACTCGAATAAAGTTTTTTTGTATATTTCATGCATTATTTAATGACATCATCGGATGACATTTTAAATGAATATTTATATATTTTTTTTTTTTCGTAGAACTTTTTCTTCTGAATCCATCAATGTAGGGTTTGAAGATCTCTGAGTTCATAATAAAATAGAAAGTAAACATGTATTTAATAAAAAATAATAATTACTTGACATCAATCCAAATAAACAAATCTTCCAAAGTACGTGTTCGAAGTGAAAGCCTCACACGTCCTGACAAAATTCTAGTCCAGTGTTTCTCAAACTTTTTTGCCGACGGAGCCTTTTTGAGAAGCGAAATATTTGACCCTAAATACCCTAAATACTTTTCTAAAAATAAAAAAAAGGTCCTCAAGCCAGGTCCTCCCTTTTGTGGCGATAGTACTACTTCACTTTTTTTATTATGACTACAAAAGCTTTGCGGAGCACACTTTGAGAAACTGTCCTAGGCTACCAACTAATTGTCTTAAGGTTGGCGTTAAAATATACTTCCTGGCATTAATTTTAATATTGAAAACCGTTCATGAAGTGTGCCTAGGGGTTGTAAAGACGTCGTAAGAAACGGAGTTGTTTTAAAGTACCCGAAAAATGACTTTGATTTTTGGTATCTAAACCACATGTAATCATTGACTTATTAAACATATTTACAAGTTTTCTTTCCGTTACAACCCCTACAACTAACACAGGAAAATTCTAGGTTTAAAATTAAATAGATTTTTTTATGAAATAAAATTATATTTTGTATGTGCTATATCACGTGACATAGCGAAACGGTACAGAGTTAAAAAATTAAGTATTATCCTTTGACGATATTGCGAAATTGTTCAGATAAACAATTTTCGAGATATTGCTAGACGCCGCCCTTAACAAGAACATTCAGAACCATGTTTTTTTATATAGAAATACCTCTAAAAATGTATGACTGCTAACCTGAAACACCGTGTAGTTCACTTATGTATTGAATCACTATAAAAGTTGAGCCGGTCCTGTCCAAGCCGGCATTGTTATGCACATGCGCTCTCCCACACACTATTTGCTCCCACACACTATTTGCTCCTTGTTGTTTCACTTCTGATGTATGGAATTGGCTTTCTATACAGGGTGTTCGATAAGTACGGTACATAACTTCAGGAGCGTATGTTGGAGCTAAATAAAGGTATTTTTGTCATATACACTATGTCTCAGAAATGCTTCGTTACAGAAATACAGGGTGAGAAAGTTTCATAAAAAAATACAATTTTTTAAATATTTCCAAAAACCATTATTATTTTAATCAAACTAATCGCTGAAAAATATGGAAGGAAAAACGTGTTACGCCACTGTTCTGTTTTTAATGTTCGATTTGGAAGAAAAAGCAACAGACAGTAAATTTTTTCATTCTTTTTTATTATTTTTAATCTCTTTGAACAATGTACAACAAAAAAGTTATCTTCAATTTTTCCCAGGTACTTATTTGACATTTTACTAGTCGCCAATTGTTTATTTATTTGTATGTCAGACATTAAAATGAATAACTTTATTAACGCTGAAATGGCTCAAATGCACTTCATTTATGGCTTAGCAAATGGGAATTCAGCGGAAGCTAGAAGAATTTATCAACAACGTTATCCGAATAGGGTAACGCCATGTGCTAAAACATTTAGAAAGATACATGCCAGATTGAGTGAAACCGGTAGTTTTGAGCATAATCGGGTAATTTCTGGTAGACCATGAACAGTAACAACGCCTTAGCTAGAAGAAGCTATACTACAGGAGATAGAAGAAAATCCTTCAACTAGTACCAGGAAGATTGCACAACAGCTTCAAGTAAGTGCAAATACTGTTTGGAGAGTTTTGAAAGCTTCTCTGCGTTACCCATACCACATACAACGAGTACAAGCTCTGCTGCCCTGCGACTTTCAGCCAAGGCTAAATTTTAGTAGGTGGTTACTCCATAAACTTGCTCATATCTGCAATTTTTTGACCCTAATTTTATTTACTGATGAGGCAACTTTTTCGCCAGAAGCAATTATTAATTTTCATAATGAACATTTATGAGCTGAGGAGAATCCTCATGCAATAAGAAAAGCTCGCTTTCAGCAAACATTTTCACTAAATGTATGGATAGGGATTATTGATGGCCATCTTATTGGACCATACTTTTTACCCCTAGACTGAATGGTATTTATGGTTTAGGCACGATGGTGCACCAGTCCATTTTAGTTTTCTTGCTCGCCAATACCTCGACAACACTTTTTCTAATCGCTGGATTGGACGCGGAAGGCCTCAAGCTTGGCCATCTCGCAGTCCCCGTCTTAATCCCTTGGACTTTTATTTATGGGGTCACCTTAAATCACTCGTGTATGAGACACCTGTATTAAATGAAAATTATTTAAAAAATCGAATAATTCAAGGTTGTAATACCATAAGAAATACTCCAGGCGTTTTTGAAAGAGTAAGACAATCAATGAGGAGACGATTGGAATCGTGCGTTTTATCAAAAGGTGGCCATTTTCAACATTTGCTTTGATTCTTTGTTATAAGTGATTATTTATATGATTGTTATTTGTAATTAAATAATAAAAAAAATAAAAATGGCTCTGTAATTATTTATGAAAAAAGTCAAGGGACCTTTTCTTCCAAATCGAACATTTAAAAAACTTAATATTGAACAAGAACAGCGGCGTAACACGTTTTTCCTTCCATATTTTTCAGCTATTACCTTGACCGCACGCCACTAGTTAAAGGAAAGCCACTGTGTTTACAGTAAAATACGCAACTCTCAAAAGCTGCAAAAATTTAATTAAAATATCTCGAGTGGTTTTGGAAATATTTAAAAAATTGTATTTTTTTGAAACTTTCACACCCTGTATTTCCGTAAGAAAGCATTTTTGAGACATAGTGTATATGACAAAAATACCTTTATTTTAGCTCCAGAATACGCTCCTGAAGTTATGTACCGTACTTATCGAACACCCTGTATACTATTTTTATGGCTTAATATCGACATGTCAATATGACATTTATAATGTCGAAAAATTAAACCATGACAAAATAATTCAAATTGGTACATTATGATATCACAGACAATAATTGTGTGGATAATTATTCATTAATTATTCAAAACAACGTTTGCCTTTCTGTTTTATTATTTTCTTATGATAAGGTAAGTCAGAGAACACCTGAACCTCATATTCATGAATTCAGAAAGAAAAGATCTATCTGAAAAAAAAAAAACAAATACAGAGCTATTCATTTAAAAGTTCATTCCATTACGTCATTCTTGATAAAAATGACAAATGACGAAAGTCCCAGTCATTAAATACTGCTTAAATATACGATTAAATTATTTGAGTCAACTTTCAGTACAATCAATAATTCAGCCACAAATCGGGTGTTCCGCGAATTTTGCCCAACCCTGTATATGTGTCAACGTTAAACGTCATATTACGTAGTGAATACAATATGTTTATCTTGACCCTAGAAGAACGGTATAAAAACACAATGCTATTGAATCGAAAGAAATATCCCATCCTTGTCTTCGAAAGGGCGTGGTTAAACCAATATAATTAAGCATTTTACCTTTATTTTGTTTGATGCGTTGGTTAACGTACTTTATGTAAATTTTAAAATACGGGATATTTCAGTTTCTTGTAACTTGACTTTAAGACTCGATAGAACTTAAAAACATACAAAAAATATATATAAATAAAGGTTAGCAAACACTTATTTTTCGAAATACATGGTGTTCTAATGATTTTTTTAAAATATCGTATACATTTTATGACGTATTGCGGGATTTTTTAGAAAAAGAAAAACATTGTGTCGAGACTTGCTTGAGAATCCGACGCCTTATCCAAAGAAAGGAACTAAAATCTAGAGAGATAGCGCTACACTCCATTTTAAAGAGGCGGTTGCCGAGTATTTAATATATTGTTCTGATACAGTTATTCTTTACATAATAATTAATATTAATTGATTAAGCCTTTATGATATTATTTGTTTAGTGCTAGACTTATTTTTATTAATAGAAGTGAAAAAATATACTAAGTGAAATGTGATACATTTATAAAAATTTCGTACGTCCATAGTGATTTCGATCCATCTACATTTCACACCGAATGGGCCAGCAGGTAGATATCGTAAAACTTCTAGAAATCTTTCATTCTTTCAGAGTAATGTTGTTTCAGTCATTTGAGAGATCATATTTTAATAAAATTATTTAATATAGTTCCAACTTTCTTGTATGTCTATTCAATTAGGGGAATAAAAACAGTATTCATCATGAAATAATAGCAATTTATGAAACCCGTTAGAAAATTTCTTATATTTGCGAGACGAGCAGAGGAAAGTCCCGCAACATAAACGAGTTACATAAAACGGCATTTCGTAACGTGTTACATGTGTACAATATTTTTTATAATTTTGACTAGATTATTTATAAAATTGTGTTTTGGTAAAAAATTACTGACATCTAGGCAACTACTTTCTTGTATTATTAATTGCATATGATTAACTTCATTCTTTTATTGACAAATAGAATATCATATTCATTTATTCTCAATGACTTATTGTAGTGTATTTGTATTGCTTGTTAAAGTGATTTAGATTTCTAGAAAGTAGGTTATTTTGTCGTGTATTGTGTTTTAATTATTTTTTGGTGATTTAAGAAGGAAAATAAGGACCAAAACAACATTATTACTACGTTGTAAGTTTAGCCAAAATCTAGTTTTATGAGTTAACCTGTCCTTCTTTGATATAAACTTTAATAACAACGTTGATTTTAAAACCAAAGAGGTTTATTTTTATTTGTTTTGTTTTCGCAACTGGTGAATTTTTCGAAACCTGTTTCATAATGTTGAACATTATGCAACTGGTTGCG